ATGTGATAAGTCATAAGAGACTCTTTTATACATATGGAGAAGTAGATTGACTATAAACTATATTAGAATCTTAAGTTAGATAATAAAAAAATAAAAACACCCAATAGCCTATGTGTTAGACCTAGGTCACAAGACAAGGCTTAAGAGGCACTAAAATATATATTGAGCCTAGACATATGGCCTAGACCCAAAAGGTGTCAGGCATGCACCTAACATCTAGGCTTAGGCATGATGCCTAACACTTAGGTCGAGGTGTAATGCTTGGATCTAGAGTCCAATAGCCTATGTGTTGGACCTAGGTCGAGGTGTAATGCTTGGATCTAGAGGTACAAGTAGCATGTCTAGCATTTGAGTCAAGCCCATAACCTAGGCTCAATTCTATTTTAAATGAACCTCTAAAACATGGTTTATTATTAAAACATGTTTAAGCAACAAAAAATCATTAAAAAAATATTAATATATCTTAGTTCATTAATAATCTATTGAGTTTTTGTGGTAAAAATACATAAAAACTTAAAGATATATCTGACTTTTTTGATGAAATTCTTAATTTTTCTCTTTATAAAAAGATGGATGGATATCTCAAGGCATATAGTCAAAGTATTTACATGGTATACATCACTAATAAAAAATGCTTATCTTAAATAAATAAAAAGTAGGAAAAACACATTGTGACGATGTTGACTTTAACCTTAGGGATCTATCCAAGGGAATAACATGTGTCGCTGATCTGGCAGGGCATAAGGGGGGCCTTCCACTGTATTAGAACTTTCTTACATTCCATTTCATTTCACGTTAGAAGTTCCTCTCTTTAAATTTCTCTAAGCCATCTTGCCAAGTAGTTTTAAGGTGTGAAGTGTGTACCTAGTAGAGAGTAATTACATGGAATGTGTGGGATTTGCATGGTGTGTGGCACATGAACACTTGCTTGAGGTAACCATTCATACTTAATGTGTTACATGATTGTGAAAATAGATTTTGTTACATTATGATGTCAGTTGAGATTCTTTAAAATCAATTACAAAATTGTTTATTTTAAAATTAAAAATCCTTATTTAATAATTAAATAAAATTAAGGATCTTAAAATATACATTGGTTTCAATGATTTAAGTAAGTGATTGATTATGTTTAATGAAATGATGTCACATTTACAATATTCTTTGTTACAAAAGTTATATTTATAATGTGTTTTCTTCTAAATTTGTTTTTGTGATTGCTATTAATTATCTTGATTGTTTTTAGCTTTTTTTTTAGTATTTAATTTCTAATTATTTTATAAAAAAATTAATTTTGATTTTTAAATATGTTAGAAAATGACACCAGTCTTTAAAAATAAAAGACTTATCGAAAAAAGTTGATGTTTATTCTTAAAAATGAATATTACATTTAAATTGTTGAATATAAACATCTTGTTTGCTGTTTAATTTGAAGGTTAACATTAGTCTTTAAATATGTCGTAAAATGATATAAGTTTCTAAAAATAAAAGAGTCATAAATTTTTTTTATATATATCTCTAAAAAAAAGAATTTACATCAAAATTGTTAAAAATAAATATAGACCTATATAGATGATGAGAAATAGCTTTGGATCCATGAGAGTGGTAAAATGGGCTTCAGCTCTTTTGTTAAAAAAATCTTATAAATTAAAAATTTTATCATTGTTTATTTATTTATTTTAAAAGAAATATAGGTTTATAGTTTTTTTATGTAGGCCTAATGGGCAATTTTATCATTGTTTATTTTTTTATGGTGCTATCATTTTAATTTGTTCTAACACATGCAAATAAAATAAAATCATGAACCATACTTATACATTCTCTTTCACTAATTAACACATACAAACACTATAATCACACACATTTATACAATTATCATATGTAATCAAACACAATAAATCAATCAAAGATCATAATAAATTTTTTTATTGTTGGTATTTTAATTTCAGATTTTATTATTTTAATTTTTAATTTTTATTCTTGATTTTTTTAGAATTTTTATTTATTTTTAATTTCAATATTCCATCCCAATTTATAAATATTATATTTTTCAATTTGGTTTTTATTTTTTATTTTTGTCTTTGGTCCTCTAGTAAAAATTTTATTTGTTTTAAATTTTATAATTCAATCCAAATTGATGATATTATGTTTTTCGACTTGATCCTTATTATTTTGATTTTTAATTTTTTTAGGCTCTCTTGAATAAAAAATATTATTCTTATCAACTTCATCATTCAATCATAAATTTATTATTATTTTTTATGTCAATCTTTGTCCTTATTCTTTTTATTTTTTTAATCCTTTTGCTAAATTAATTTTTCTTTTTAATTTTATTATTTAATCAAATTTAAAATTTATTTGATATTTGAATTTTGATCATTATTCTTTTAATTGCTATTCTTTTAATCCATTCGCTAAATTGATTTTTCTTTTCAATTTTATTATTGAATATCTGATTTGATTGAGAATTGAGTTTCATGTTTTTTTCAAATATGGTATTTTGAATCTAATGACTTGAGTCATAAGTTTGAAAAGTTAACATAAAGTTTTTTTTAAAGGTTTATAATTTTTTTTATTTTTTATTGAGTTATTCAAATCTCATGATTTGGACCGCGAGTTTGGTAAGTTATCCCGAGTTAACTCAACCTTGATTGGAGTTATACGTTTGTTATGCTAATTCAAGTTAACTAAAATTGATTTTTTTTAATGTTGTTTTTTACTTTGTTTTTTATAGACATCGTTTATTTCATTTTGAAAAAAATATTTTTTTCTCAAGTTATCCTAATCAATTTTTTTTTTAAATTTAATCTATCAATTATTGTTTTTTATTTTTATTTCATCTAATTAAATTAAAATCAGCTTATTTAATCTAGTTTGATATATAATTCAAATTATATATTTTTTAAAAAATATATTTATGACAGTTGAATATTATTTTTTTATCATAAAAAATAAAAGTTTAGTCCCGCGCGAAACGCGGTAGTGAGAGAGCTAATGGGATTAATCAGCAGCCAAGTGTCTATCAGCTTTGAATTTTAAGTTAATTAACGCGGTACCATAAAGTGGAGTCCTTGTCAGAACTCAAGTCGGCAGTCCAGGTCGACTACTAATTCCTACTTCCAGGAGATTCTATTCTACCTCAGTCTAACGGCTATTTTTCTTGCCAGCAAATCCTATTATATTTATATATGTATTAACAACTACACACAATTATTACATATTATAGATTCAAAATAGATATGTAATCCGTGACCCATGCTTTAATGAAGGTCAAATATTTTTATTTTTTATAAAAATATATATATATATAGGTTTTTTAATGCATTTTTATAGTTTAAAAAATCTAAATTATACATACATAAAATTAAATAAATTAAAAACTATATGTACGAATAAATAAATAAAAAGTTATTAATGATACCTGAAAATAAAATGTAAAAAATCAAGAGATAAATATAGATCAAGATATCTAATCTCGATAGATAGGAAATTTACCCTATTTTTTTGCTAAATCTATTTAATAAAATAATTTTTTATTTAACTGAATGATAATAAAAATAGACAAATTAAATTGATCGACTAAAATAAAAAAATCATGCAAGGCTGCACATATTAGAAATATTATCTAAAAATAACTTTTTTATTTTAAAAATAAAGTTTATCTATACAAAAGATATATATATATATATATATATGAACAAGAAAAATTCTTCAAATTTAAATGATAACTAAAAAAATAATAGTCATTTAAAAGAGGCTCTCCAAATAAAATGAAAGAGAGAAGGAGTTCTAATTTAAATATAAATTAAAAAATTAGAGAAAAAACTATTAAAGAAATTATTAATTTAGAAAAAATAGAATAAAGGTTAAGCATTGCTTTCCATGAACTGGGTCATGAGTATAAAGAAAAAAAAATGATTTAAGTGAACTTTGCAGCTAATGAAGTGAATAAATGAAACACATAAAATTAAATAGCAAAATAAAAAAAATACTTCAAAAAAAGATCAAAGTCAATCATTGTTATTCTTTTAGATTTATGAATCAGGTCATAAAATTAAAATGAACCTGTTAAAGTCAAATTTGAAAAAATAAAAAAGCAAGATTCTTAACCAAATAAATATTAAGATATGAAATTGAGAAAAAAAAATCAATCAAAAAACAATGCGAAACAGAATAAATATTAATTAAAAAAATTAGAACTAAATTCAACATAAAAACTAGCTAAAATTAAATATTTAGGGAAAATATAAATGAAATTAAATGTTTAGGGATATAATTGAAAAACATCAATTAAAAATAATTAAAAAATAACAATTAAAAAAATTAAAATCAAACTTGACATAAAAATTAATGAAAAGAAATGCTCAAGATGGAATTGAAGAAAAACAAATAAATCAAGAAAATATTTGAAAAAAATAGCAATTAAAATAATAATAATTAAATTTAATAAAAAAACTAACAAGATCAAACAACTAGGGATAAAATAAAAAATAAAATTCAATTAGAAACAATCAATGTAAATAAAATAATTACAGTTTAAAAAAAATTAGATTAAAAGAAAAAGGGAATTGAAGGGCTAGTCCTGCATGCAATTCAAAAAAAAAAAGGAAAAAAAAAATTAATTGACATTAAACTAGACCTCACTACTACACACATGTCATTCAAAAAAAAAAATAATGTTGAGATATATTAAATGAAGGTGAACAGATTAAAAATAACAGATTAACAGATATTCCTACCTATCAAGTAAACTTTTAAAAATTAAAGAATAAAGAGTAAAATATTAATTTTATTGTGCCCTATAAATATTTTATTGTGGCTATATTACAATTAAAAAAAAAAACCCAGGAAGCTTAGTAATTTACTTAATGGTTAATGCACCCTTTTCTTTGCTTACAAATACACTTCTCTTGCTGCTAACAATTTTCTCTGTCTAGCCGGTGGCAAGACTATTCAGCCTTGACCCTTTCAACCTTTTTCTCATCTATCTCCAATCCTTTGCTTTCACTTCCATTCACATTATGCAAGTTATGCACACGCAAGCTAATCTTGTATATAAATATTAGCCAAACACTATCATTATAACATTGTATCCACTGTGGTCTCACATTATTCCTGTACAAAAAACCCAGGCTCTGATTAACGGCAATGGATTGCTTGGTCTTGCCTGTATCAATGTTGAGAAAGTGCTACACGAGGTCACGACTAGGCTATCGGCCATTAACTGAAGATGGGTTCGGCGATTTGGACAGTCCGGTGACCGTGGTGGTGGGAAAAGAGAGGAAAGAGTTCTTGGTTGATCCGTTTGTATTAGAAGAGAGCCCCTTTCGGGTTTTGATTGAAACAGTAAAGAAGGACAGAGTTTTTGATGATACGAGTAGATCAAGGGAGGAGAAGAGAGTGATTTTTGTGGATGTGGATGCCATTTTGTTCGAGCACATGTTGTGGTTGATGTACAATGATTGTTCTTCTTTATTTCAGCTTAATCTCAAGGAGATTATTGACTTCTATGCTCAAGATTGTTAGATACAAGTGAATAAAACAAAGGAAAGGTATACCAGGCACACTAGCTAATTTCATTTTATATAAATCTCTATATAGTTCCATCGATCGTGTAAATTTCTTTAAAGCCACTAACAAATAATTCTATTATTCTCTTTTCTTGTCCTGCTGCTCTCTTCTTCTTTGTTATTCGTGTTCTTCATATCAATGTTTCTGTGTTGATCAATAACATTGATATTGGATACTATATGCTCAGTGAAAAGCATGACCTCTTGGAGCAATGGAGATTTTCTGGATCAGTTGTAGATAATAGTAGGCGCCTCAAAATGGCCGTGTTGCTACGTGGTAAATCGGCCAATTGTGCTCATCGTCTTCCATTTTCGGTTTCCAAGTCTTGTTTTTGCTAATGTCCAAAATAGTTATTTCTTGTTAGAGGCAAGCTACAATATTTACCAAATCTTTCCATACGGCAGGATTTTTCTTACTAAATAATATACATGGTTCACTTTTATTCTACGTTGTTGAGAGCTTTCTTTGTTGTTTCGTAACAACAAGAGAGTTTTCTCCCCTCTGTTCGCTTCGAAAGAGTCAAATATGACATTAGATTACTGGAAATAAAAACAAATTAATATGCACTTAGCTGTAAATTGTTCAGATTACTTGTAACTAGATCCAGAATAACAAGCTTTATGAAGTTTTAATCTGTTAATACAATTAGATCGATTCCAATCCACCTCTAATCAGATGAAGCAAGTTAACGTCATGAACTTTAATATGCCTTCCATTTAGCATATTCTTTTCCTTTTCTTTTGTCGCCCACCTAGCATATCCTACGAAGTTCTCTAGAGAATCATCAATGCATGCATTGACGGTGAAGTATGCAAAATCAAAGACAAACAGCACAAGCATGTATGCATTGAAATCAAAGACAAACTTGCTGACAAACATTCCAAGATACAAAAAAAAAGGCATTGCAGGTGGACTCAAATTTCAGCCATTCTGTTGTTTTGGGCTTACGGAGTTCCTACTTTTCATAAGGGCCTTCACCGAATTAACAAGATGAGATGGAGAAGCCCATCCTCTTGCACGATCGGCATCAGAAACGACTATTTAATCTCAATTTATCGAATAATAAACAGATATAAATATTATCAAACTTAACCCAAAACTCTCTGCCCCCCCAAAAAAAAAAAAAACACACACACAATATTTAGATTTTTTTTAATATAATATAATATAATATATTTGTACCTTAATATTGACATAAAACACACATATATAAATAATATTTATCATTTTATTATTAATATACATGTACATATATCAAATATATATATTAACTATAATATTTTTTATTAATTAATAAATAATAATAGATAATACATAGTTATTGAATACCCAATACCCAATGAATAGTTTATAAATATCTAAATTTTTTCCTTGATAAATAATTAATAGAATATAAATATTAAAAAATCTAACCCATAGATATCGATCGCTATTCCTAACTAGCATTTGATTAAAAAAAAAAACCCTTAGTTTTATCACATGGAGATTATTAGGCACTATGGTTTAATATTCTCTAGTTGCATAAAAATGAGATCTATATACATCAATTATGTTGGATTGCACTCTTTTTTATGAATGGAGTAACAAAACAGTGATATCAATTAAGTAGAGTTTTACATGGAAACAGAAGAGAGAGATAATTAAAAGAGAATAAATATATTCTCATGTTATTTATGTTTTAAATAACAAAAATTCACTCCAAAAATTTTTAAATATAAATCTATTTTTATATTTTCATCTTCATCACTCTAACTAACTAAACACATTTTTATAATTTTTATATTTTTTTATTATTATTTTGAGACTAACCAATCGCAACCTTAAAGACATTATTATATTTTGAAAAACAAAATCTCATAATGGGCCCAATAATTTTGACAAAGTAGCTCATATGAAATTAGAAAATTCAACTTAACTAGACTAAATTACATTAAATTATATTATTAATACAAATTAGAATTTTCTAAAATGTTTAGGAAATAATTTTTTTTCAAGAAAATATTTTTTTTGGATATTTTCATTAAAAATAAATAAAAAATTCAAAGACAGTCAATCATTATAATTTTAAAAACATTTTAGACAAACACCTTCTTTTTTTTTTTTTTAGCAAAACAACTTAAACTTTTTATAATTTCTAAGTAATAAAAACTATTAAAATATTTTTTTAAAAGAAATAGTTGTACATTAAAAAACTTGAGAATGTTTACCTACTTGTTAAAAAATATCAATGGCTGAAAATTTTAAAATTTTTATTTCATAAATTTTAATCGAGAAATTAAAAAAAAATATTTTTTAAATATTTTCAAATATACCAGTACTCAACTAATAGATTATAAATATCTAAATTTTTACTTGATAAATAATTAATAGAATATAAATACTAAAAAAATCTAACTCGTAGATATTGATTGCTATTCCTAACTAGCATTTGATTAAAAAAAAAAACCCTTAGTTTTATCACATGGAGATTATTAGGCACTATGGTTTAATATTCTCTAGTTGCATAAAAATGAGATCTATATACATCAATTATGTTGGATTGCACTCTTTTTTATGAATGGAGTAACAAAACAGTGATATCAATTAAGTAGAGTTTTACATGGAAACAGAAGAGAGAGATAATTAAAAGAGAATAAATATATTCTCATGTTATTTATGTTTTAAATAACAAAAATTCACTCCAAAAATTTTTAAATATAAATCTATTTTTATATTTTCATCTTCATCACTCTAACTAACTAAACACATTTTTATAATTTTTATTATTATTTTGAGACTAACCAATCGCAACCTTAAAGACATTATTATATTTTGAAAAAAAAATCTCATAATGGGCCCAATATTAATTTGACAAGGTAGCTCATATGAAATTAGAAAATTCAACTTCACTAGACTAAATTACATTAAATTATAATATTAATACAAATTAGAATTTTCTAAAATTTTTAGGAAATAATTTTTTTCAAGAAAATAACTTTTTGGATATTTTCATTAAAAATAAATAAAAAATTCAAAGACAGTCAATCATTATAATTTTAAAAACATGTTAGACAAACACCCTTTTTTTTTCGCAAAACAACTTAAATTTTTTATAGTTTCTAAGTAATAAAAAATATTAAAATATTTATACAAACATTTAAATAACCTTTCGGTTTCTAAAAGAAATAATTTTTCTTTATTTCTTAAGCATTTCCCAAATATTAATTGTTATTCATTTTGAGATTTTATGCAATTTCTTTCAATTACGTTGCATTGACAAATTTTGCAACGCATGTGGAACCGGTAATTGAGTCGGGATAGGTGCGTCTAGATCGTGTTTTTTCAGGTTTTTGTTGCTATTCAAGTTTGGACCAGCATGCACTTGACCCTGACCCTAACCTATTAGATTCGGGCGGGTTTAGGTCTACCCATGTTAGTGAAAAAATAAAAATTCTAGGAAAAGAATAAAGAAGATTTCTACTATTTTATAAGATATGTAAAAATTTGGTGAAGACCTCATTAACATTGCCATTCCAAATATACTATTGAAATTAAAATATCGCTATTCATGTTTATTCCCGACTTTCCATTTTTTATAGTCAAACAATACTTTAACGTTTTGTAAAGTTAAGGTGTTATATAATACTTGACCCACGGGTTATTCATAGGTTAATCCAATCTAGAAATTTTGAAATACTTTGGGTTAAGTCAATATAGGTTTTCTTGTTGATAGCGCACAAAATCTTTTTCATTGGGATTGATTTGCCAAATTGGTATAAACAAAGGCAATTTTGAGGGGTTTCCCTACTATTTTTCTTTTTGGAGGTTGTGCAACAAGGTAATTCTATTGTAAAAGTGTGGTGGTATATATATTCCTTTTTTTTGAGGTGGGGATTAAGAGGATAATTTAGAATGTTTCTTTCTTAAGTTTACTACAATTAACCTATGCTTAATTTTTTTAAGCATTGTTTCGTATTTAGAGTAGTTATAAATTGTTATGCATCTTGAAATTTTATTTAATAATTTAAATTTAGTAGTTATAAATTGTTATGCATCTTGGAATTTTATTTAATAATTTAAATTATTAAATTGAGATAGTTATTTTATATGATATTAGAATATTAATGATTAAATGGTCATGAGTTTGAATTTTATTATCTTTATTTATTTAATAAATCTATATAAATTTTAAGTACAAATAATTTTTATTTAAGAAGATATTATAAAATAATATAAATTATATTTTAAAATTTTATTTAATAATTTAAATTATTAAATTAAAGTGATTCTTATACTTATAATTATAAAATATCATGGTGGTAGATGTTCTTTTAATAGTCAATTAAACCTCTATTAGAGAATTTTATCTCATCATTCGAAAGTTGACTCGAGACTCCGAAAGGGGGAAAAAAGGAGAAGGATATTTTTGGATAGTTCAGTAAAAAAGTTCTCCGATAGCCAAATTTTGCTCTATATTGAAGCTTCTATTTGCTACGTTTTGAAATCCGTACAATTACTTTCTCTGATACGATGGAATTGGAAACAGAAAATAACAAGATAAAAGAGTTTTTTATAACCTTGCTTGCAGTGTGTGTGTGTGTGTCTATATATATATATATATATATATCAGTGACACCTTCTTACAAGTTACTCTCCATTCGTTACATTCTCGCAGACTAATTTTCGATCCCACTAACGTGTGATTATTTAGAGGCACTTAGTTTTTTCTTAAGAGAGGGAATTTGGAAAAAAGAAATAGAAAGTGAGGGACTCCGGCTTGGGCTAGAGCAAGATCAATCATGGGCTGTATCATAATGGACAATGGGCAGAGTAAATGCTCCACAATCGTGCTGGTAAAGCTAATATTGGTCCTTATGGGAGTAAACGTCTCGTGCAGCCCAGGATTACATTGATGGAAAATGGCTTTGGTTTTCCAAGTTGCAATCTTAGAATATATGGATTTGATTTGATCTGTTTAGAAAGAGATCCTCGTCGTACTGGCTGCTTAAATTAATCATGTCCTTTAATTTAGTAAAATTCAATAATATTCTCGTCTAAAACCTCAAAAGCTGGAGCACATTTCTTTTAGATGCATGCCAGAGAGTTTTTTTTTTTTTTTTCCTTCTTACAAGTCGACATTCACTATTTAATGATAAAGACATCCATTGTCACAATCTTCAGATACATAATCCCATGCGAAGAACACCAATTCTCGAGACCAATAAGGTAGATACATGCCTCGTACCACTAAAGTAGAAATTCTCCTTTGCAAGAGATGGCCGTTAATTCATACATTCGTTAAGCACTTAAGAAATTCGTGGTCTGAAGTTTTGCTTGCTTGAATCAGCTAATTTGTCCACATAACATGCTTTTTAGTCTGTCTTAATCCTTACAGATTTTAGATCTTATAAGCACTGTGTTTATAAGATCATAAGATCTCTCAACAACATCATTAATTTCTTTACACAAGTATCTCAAAATCGTTCTCATGTCGTGATCATGACACGGGCTATC